AGGCCCTCCCACCATCGCTGACTGGCTCGTCTGTGGCCAGAGCTGAGTCCCACTTGAAGCAGAGAAGCTTCTGGTAGTTTCTCACAGGAGCCTCCCCTGTAGCCCCTCCCCATTACCCCCACAAAACCCCAATACAGCCACCTTCTAGTTTTGACACAAAAGCTCCCCCTCCACCTGAGGAACAGCAGAGAGCGTTCCATTTCCCTGACAGAGGTAGCTGTCAGTGAGCTATTACACTGTTACAAGTGCTCAGTACCACAGAGACGAGAAAAAGGCCAGTTTGGGATGGGATTCCTCATCCACATCATTTCTCTTTGGTGTCCCCTACTGAAGACTTTGGTCAGTGAGGAAAAGTAGGTTCTTGGCCTACCAGTAATGGCTGGTTGTTTTAAAACAGTCCTCAAGGCCAGGCTGGATGAGGCTTGGAGCAACCTGGTCTAGTGGAAGGTGTCCCTGCCCATGGCAGGGGGGTTGGAACTGGATGGGCTTTAAGGTCCCTTCCAACCCAAACCATCCTGTGATTAATAGAGAACTACTCCAGTGCAGACACTGATATACCACTGGAGTTAAGACTTGTTAAATCCTTGAATATTGAAGGTGAATAGTAGTGAGGGGTGGGAAAAAACCAGCCAGGACCTGGGACTTCCTCCTTCATGACCACAACGTGCGTCTAAACTAGGTAAAGGTGTCACGTCTTAGTGCAACCTCCCCCCTTTGCTCTCCAGTCTGAAAAGCTACAGCTACTGCTTGGAAGCTGCACATAAGATGCTGAGGTAGAAGGTCAAACACACTTCCATTATGCATCTTTGGACATCTCCGAATTATCTGCCTGCCAACCTGGAGGATGAGTTCATGAGGCTGGGGGGACAGTCACTCACTTCTATTCCCCAGAGGTCACTCAGAGGAGGATTTCCCTTCAGGCTGTGCTTTAGCATGCAGGTCAAAGCTGCTTTCCCCAGGGTACCTGTTCCCTTGCCAGAACCCAAAGCATCAGCCTCCTCTCCACAGACGCTGAGGTCACATCCGTTTGCATGAGGAAGCCCCAAGCTACAGAGCAAGGCAGGTAACGAAGCCTCTGAAACCTGCTTCTACGGAGTGGGCTACCAGTCAGTGCTGTGACTGTGAAATGAAGAGTCTTGCAATGCTTGTCACAGTCCAGCGAGAGAAGGATTTTTAAACACCTTAAGAAACTAGAAAAGCAAGACCAGAGTTTGCTGTGCAAATATCCTACAAAGCTTTTGGGACTGTTTCTAACAGAAGCCCCGGCTGCTGTAACTACGTGGAAAGCATGAACCGAGTCTCAGGGTAATAGTAAATACTGATATTCACAGAAAGGCAGCGTCACTCCGTGCCCTTGCCTTCATCAGGCCAGGCTGGATGAGGCTTGGAGCAACCTGGTCTAGTGGAAGGTGTCCCTGCCCATGGCAGGGGGGTTGGAACCGGATGGGCTTTAAGGTCCCTTCCAACCCAAACCATTCTGGGATTCTATGATTACACACCCCACGTGTTCAGAATGATTTATACAGCTGTCAGAGAAGGAATATAAACACCTTATTTTGAGACAGGCTGTAAATCCACATCTCAGCATGCCAGGCACTCTCAAGGCACTACCAACTCCTCTCCCTGGGAGTGGGAAGTAGCTTGCTCATAACACACACGACTGTGCCTGTTACCTACTGTCAGTAGATTTTACCTCAAAACAGTGCCAATTAACACACCCACGTGCTGTAGCACAGCCTGGGAGTACTGACCAGCACACGTGTTGCAAGAGCTGCGAGGAACAAATTTTGAGCTAAAGAAGTTCAGTCAACATATAAGGTAGAACTAAACCTGCTGCTTTGCAAAGGCCCATCAGTCAAAACCAATGCCCTGCCCTCACGTCCTCCCTAACCGCCAGTTTGTTACACCCCAACTTCTTGCCCGTGAGCAGCACTTGTGAATGTCGTCTTTTTGACAAGAGCGAGAGTGAGCTGGAATCTCAAGGAATTACTAGAAGCTGAGCAGACTTCCAGAACCCCCAGTCTGCAACCAAGACATTAACTCCTCCCGGAATAAGAGTTCTCATTCTTTCGGAGCTAGAGTTGCTAAATATCACCCCATTAGTTTTCAGTCAGTTTAAAAAGGTTTGATTAGTCTTGTCCTGCTTGAACAAAGGTACGTTCTTTCCCCCCAAAAAGTGTACCATCAGACTTCTTTGGGTTTCTTATTGGGCATTCATCAGCTAGAGCAGCATTTTCACAGAATCCCAGAATGGTTTGGGTTGGAAGGGACCTTAAAGCCCATCCAGTTCCAACCCCCCTGCCATGGGCAGGGACACCTTCCACTAGACCAGGTTGCTCCAAGCCTCATCCAGCCTGGCCTTGGACACTTCCAGGGATGGGGCATCCACAGCTTCTCTGGGCAACCTGTCCCAGGGCCTCCCCACCCTCTCCAAGAAGAACTTCTTCCTGATATCCAATCTAACCCTCCCCACTTTCAATTTAAGCCCGTTCCTCCTTGTCCTGTCACTACCGGCTCTTGTAAAAAGTCCTCTCCCAGCACCCTTGTAGGCCTCCTTCAGATACTGGAAAGCTGCAATGAGGCCTCCCCGGAGCCTTCTCTTCTCCAGGCTGAACAAGCCCAACTCTCCCAGCCTGTTCCCATAGCAGAAGGGCTCCAGGTCTCAGAAGTTAATTCACTTTCTCTTTTATCCTTTTTTTCAAAAGGAAGAAGTTACCCTTTTCCTTCACAAATATGGATGGCTAGCAACCACTCTGAGAGGAAACACTGCTGTCAGACACAACCCGTGAGCTTAACTGGTACGAGCACTCGCACCCCTCAGTCCAGTTCCCAGTAATACTTACGTCAGCTTTAACCTTTTAATGTGACCTGGCATCACAGGAACATACAGCATTTTGACTCCCTGTACAACCATGGTCGGTTCAATTCCGTATTTCTCCTGGAATTCAGAAAATTAAAGCCTATTAAAGGGCTAGGACAGCTGCACAAGCCAGCAGATAGAGCTACTGCTGACAGTAAAGCTAATTATTCAAAACCACAGGATCTCGGCCAGAAAACTTGCTAAAGCAGAGGTATCAACAGACGTTTTAAGATACATTTCAGCCAATCGAATTAAAGACTTGGAAAATAGGCCTGGATGCGTTTAGAGACATTCCCACGGACATTAATTCTTGCTAGAATTACTCTAGTTTGATCGTTAACTTGATGAAAAGAACAGAATAAAACCAAAACCACCCAAACCAAGAGAACCCTTTCCTCTCATCTGGATCAACCCAGTGCAGCACATAACTTACTCTGACAGCATTTATGAAGTCCAACAGAGTAAAATCCTCTTTCCCATAAACCGTCCACCTGTCCCAGATGGTAAAAGAGATCCCATTTCTGTTTAGAAGAGAGCAAGGTTGTGACTTTAGAGTGTGAACTTCCCGTAAACACGTACTGAAGAGCCGTGATCTCTTCTAGCAGCTCGCCCCTTTATCGTGAGCAAACACCTCTTCCCCCTGCGGCCATTCCCCAGCCCTTCGGCGGGCTGAGCACGGGACACAGTACCAACCCCGCAGACCTGGCGTCTGCCAACGAACTCAGGGAGTTTTCAGAGCTACCGTAACACAGATCTCGTACTGACCCAGATGCAGAAGCGTGTCCAGGCTGCGGCAGGCAGGATGTTTATTAATAACCACGCTGCACATCTAGCTCATCTCGATTCTTAAAGCCTCAATAGCAACAGCTTCCACTGAAAACCAAACTAAGCCCTTAAAACCACTGTTTTTAAAATTAGGACAGAAGAGTACGTGCTGCGTTTTCCAAACAGGAAGTTATTGAGCAATGCATTATGGGACAACCTTGGCAGTACTAACAGCATCACTTACAGCTTCAGCAGTAGGTAGTACATGGATAATAGAGTTTGACAGTAAACACTAATGATCCACCACCTTCCAAGTTTAAAAAACCAACAGAAACCCCAATCTTGAATACCTATAAGGTTTAATAGGAGTATGACCACGAACTGTGGTTCCATCGCAGTTCTGCTACACGAGCGCACGAGGCCTTCAGCTGCTCATCTGGCTTTAATAACTGTACAGACTTGGAATGGCTCACCAAGCTCTGAGCATCAGTCACCAGGTCTCCGAACACCGCCCTTCCTACCTGATTTCCGTTCGTCTCACTCCAGCGGTTTCCGTAAAAACCATTATGGGAATGGCGAGGTTCAGGAAACAGTTCTTGTACGCCTCAGCTGGGTAGCCACCCACCACTTTGATGAGTTCCAGGGCAACCTGCAGTAAATAAGAATCCCATCCTCCTGTGAGACTGAGCAGCAGGTTTACATCCCGTGTTACCAACGCTGGCATAGTTAAGTGGCCAGCAACGACAGGAAGTCAATAACGAGATCAGCCTTGAGTAAACCACATCTGGAAACGCCACCCAAGATGCCACAGAAAAATTCTGTTGCCCTTAACAGAAATATGTAAAACATTCCAAAGTGTTCCTAATGCAGAATTTAACAATTTTGGAAGAGTCCAAGACATCTCCACAAGGCATGCAGTTCTGCTGAGAACTACCGCAGGACAGATCCTCCCCACTCCTGGCAGTGGCACTCTGACGGAAGCTGGCTTCAGTTGCAGAAAACAAACCAAAACCCTGATCTCCAACTCCACTTTCTGGACAACAAATCAGGAAAAGCACCAAGGGCTTACCACACCTTGAACCAGGAGCGGCCTTTTGTACTGGCACAGACGAAGAAAAGACACATTACGCCTGAAATAAACCCGCTTCTTTCACGAGGCTCTGTCAGGGCAGCGTTAAACAGTAACAAACAACAGTGGGTTTAGGCAAAGAGCAGTAAGAAACATGCATTTTAGGCATTTTAAAAGAACACTCACCAGCCCCGACACGGCAGCAGTAGCTGTGGCGATGGCAGGAATGATCTTCCCAGCAATGCGCTTTGTTTTGAACCGATCTGCTGGTTCGATGTTGTACATCCTGGCTCGCAGGTTGGATGCTGCTGTTATGAAATCCATATGCCCGTTACTGTCGTCATCTTTTTCAAAGGAGATGGGCTTCATCTGCAAGTCGTCTGCTCAGGGCAAAAAGAAAAATGAGCGAAAATTACTATTAAAAACCTGGAGGTGTCCTAAACCTAAGTTACAGGGAACTAGAACCCTAGCAAATTAAAAATGACACATTCTGGAGCTTGGTGCCTTACTCACAACCTGCTCTCCCATACCAGAAGCAGAAATGTCCCTATCAACACCGGTTGTTAAACGCCAATAATGGAAGAAATATCAGAGCTCCGTAATTTTATTTTCCTTGCAACACCAGGACAGATTTCGGACAGTCCTACGGATGTTTCTGATACCCCACCCCTCACTGTAGCTCCATCCTGTGAGAATTCCTGCTATAAGCTTTGTCCATCCATAACCATTTCGCTATGAACTCAGTAGCAGAGGACACAGGTTAGGGATGATGATCCATGGAAAGGGTTAGAGCCAAGCTCACCTTCCTCCTGTGCCCACGGGCTGAAAATGCAGCTGTTGCCCAAAGACCTCTTCACGTGGCCAGGCACATACATGGGATTCGAGCATCTTTAACGTAACTACAAGATGCTGAAGACAACTCAGAGTGATGCCTGTAAGTGGCAACTCTCAGCCTTCTCACACCAGCATCACTTTCAGTCCAGCCGGGATCTAGTCAGCGTCCTTTCCTCCTTAGGAGTTCGGCTCCCTGCTGTCTGCTCGCCGTCATCAGGGCTGCACTGACAGGCGAGTGTAAGAGAATCCTAAAACTTGCAGGCCTCCCAAAAACACCAAAGCATGGGGCAGTGTCAAGGACAGTTACCTGCACAGCACTTCACAAAGCTTTCGCTATCAGCTACCTGCTCCTTGCAGAATTCCAGAACCGCTTTATCCAAAGCCCTGATACTATTGGCAGTGCAACTGCAAGACGAAGGTATTTTGCACTACTCACTCTGCAGAGCTTCGTTGGACTGTATGGACTTCTCCAGCTGGAAAATAGCATTTCTTTCATCCTCACTGCTGACTGGAATGTGATCTGGTTTTCTCGCAGTCTCATCAGTCTGTACAACCTGCAAGCAGGTGCAGCGCTTGAGTAACACCACACATGAACTTTGTACAGCACGAGTGTGAAGCGCACTGGGTTTGCTGTCTTCCCTGCACTCTCTCCTCCCCAGTTCAAGAGGGACACAGACTTACTGGAGCAAGTCCAGCCAGGGGCCACAGAGATCATTAGGGGACCGTAGCATCTCTCATAGGAGAAGCTGAGACAGGTGGGACGGTTCAGCCTGGAGAAGAGACGGCTCAGGGGAATCCTCTCAGTGTGTATAAATACCCATTGGGGGGAAGTACAGAAGGCAGAGCCAGACTCTTGCCACTGGTGCCCAGTGGCAGGACAAGGGGGACAAATCACAGGACATAGAATCATAGAATCACAGAATGGTTTGGGTTGGAAGGCACCTTAAAGACCATCCAGTTCCAACCCCCCTGCCATGGGCAGGGG